TAAGGGATTTTCAAGGGTGCTTTTGAAAATTTGTGACTTTGCCCTGTGACTCTGGGAGGGGACGCTGTTGGATGATAATGAGTGTATCACGTCCTGATAATAATAACTATCACCTGCTAAGAAGCAATTACATTCCAAGCTTCTTTCTTTTGGGAAGTATTGTGTTAGGTTTATGTAGTATATACTCTAGAAATAATGAGGGCCGATCCTTCCATGCTGTATCCAATTATGCCATTGTCCTCAGAAGCAAGTGTCTGGCGGTCCTCACTCCGCAGGTGCTCCATTATGGTGTCTCCAGCGCATCAGAGACGCCTGGACTCGGGTCGCTTTCATGGCTTGGGCGGTCCCCCTCTACCCCATGGCCCTACTTTTCTATGGGTTGGCTTCACTCTGGGGACTGAGTTTCCCCACATGGTGGTTCCTGGCACTGATAGCTTCCCAGGGGCAGCAAAAGTGCCTTTTCTTTGCAGAGTTACGGTAACAGTTCTGGAAGCCAGCTCCGTGGGCTCTCACTGATGTGGTGTGGGTCACAGGCCCAGCCTTGCACCGTCCCTGTAGCCAGGTGGATGTGATGGTCTGAGGGGCCAGTCCCCGGGCTGAGCTCAGGCAGGGCTGGGTTCAGTCCACTCCCTACAAAAACAAAGCGACTAAAAGCAGGGAGGTGACATGCTCCGAGGACAGTCATGGTGCCGCTGCCTGAAGAAAGAACAACGATGTTCACAGGGAAATGCAACGACTCACGTCAGCCTCTCGGGCCCTCTCGGTCTCTGCTTCTTGCTCCATTTCTCCTGTCACTGGCCTCTGGCCTCTCTCTCTTCCCCCTTCCCCTATTTCCAAGACGTGACTAACTCACGGCTCTTACTGCCTCCCAAGTCCCACGCCTTCATGCCTTCTGTTTACTTTTTTCTCTGGGCCTCTTTCCCTTTCTGCTTACTCCACTCTTGTTTCCTTTTGAATGACATGCTGCACTCCCGGAAAGTCCATCTGGCTGGGTTTTTCAGCATCTAGGGCAGAGTGTCCCTATTCAGCAGTGTGGCCATGTCGGGCCACCTCGTAGCCTACAGATGGTTTCCTTCAGGTCAGACCCCTTTCCTAGAGCAATCGAGCGGGGCAGTAAAGCCGTGTGCTGTGTCGTCGATTGAGGGCCTATGTCGCTGGTATAGTCTTTGGTTTTGTTCAGAGAGCCTGACAGTCAGAGCTTTATGGCTGAAAGAACATATTTAATATATTTGCTAAAGGGCCAGCCCCCATTAATTCTAGTACATGCTGTATAAACCTAAAACAGTATTTGCTGAAAGAAAGATCTGTGTAGAGACAATGATTTTCCTTTGCCTTTTCGAAAAAGTGTTAGGCTCACTCATACACCCCTGTTGGTGTGTGACTAGATGGAAACTCTAGAAACCAACTGTGTCAGTGACTAAAGGAAAATGGGTTTGATAAGAAAAGATGAAAGGGGTTGTGAAAGGCTAAAAGGTGACCACAAGATGTTTTTAGGAAAATGAAGGCGAGAGAGGACGTTGCTCAGCTATTCCACATGCACAGGGAGTGATGGACCTGGCAGAGGGGCTTTGACGGGAGCAAGAAACCACCTTATTAAAACCACAGGTTGCAATACCGAGAGAAGCTTCTGAACGCTTCTAAGAGCTTGTTTTTGATGAGGTGATGGAAGAGATGCCTGACTAGAATCGGGGGGGTTCAAATTCATCGTTTTGTCATTTGAGTTATGAAACATAATAGGAGATGGGAAACCCAATACTTCTTTGATTTTATTTCAATAGAAGAGCCTTCATTTTATCTCCCGTGCTGTCTTCCTCCCATCTTGTGATTACTCGTAGGTCAGAACCAGGGTGAGGAGAGCCCAAAATTTAAGGAGGCCCTCCCTCTGAGGCGCCAACTCGGTACTGGCCTGAGAGCCAGTGACCCCTTCACTTGTGTGCCCTGGGATCTTGCCTTTTGCATCTGAGTCCTGGCCCTCTTCACAGAAGCGTGGTGGTTTCATCTTCTTAAAAATAAAACTTTTTTCGTTGTTTAGATGAGATGAATCACTTTATCCTGCCCATTCTGAACCTGGTAGTGGACTCAAACTAAAAATAAAGACTTTTGTGTGAGACAGAGAAGGTAAAAATTCAGATTTTCCTAAGGGTAAAAAAGAAAATCTTGATTTCACGTTAGCTCACTTAAAAAAAAATCCCTGTGGGCTATCAAACCCGCCCCCTGCTGTCTAAGTTCTTCCCCGGGGCTGCCGGGTGGCCCCTGCGCTCCAAGCGCCTTCGTATCTGCAGTCTGCTTCCTGTAGCCCCAGCGCTTCTTTAGACCTCTCAGGTTCGCCGGTCTTACTAATAATTGGCTGCAGCCTTTTCAATTTTCTCCTCTCATAGGCTGGCAGAATTGTGTTACTTATCCCTTTGTGAGCTCGGTTCTTCTAGATTTTTACATGACTCCTCCAATGGCTTCTGGTAAATGGAAGGGTCACCTAGATTCCTGGATGCTGCTGAGGAAGCCTTTGAGGTGATCACCAAGCTAGACTGGAGCAGGAGATTCTCTGAACATCTGGCCTCACTGTCTTGAGGCTGCCTGACAGAACCGCCTCATGGGTGGCTGTCCTCCCACCATAAAGAAAGTCCTGAGAACTAGTGAGTGCTTCCCCCCAGGAAACGGGGGGGGGGGACCAGATAGTTCTTATTTCCTTGCTGTCAGAGTGGCCTCGAATTCAGTCAGTCAGTCAGTCAGTCAGTCAGTCAGTCTTCTGCTTCCTAAGAGGCTTTACTTTTGAAGCTGTGTGTTCCTCCTAAGAGTAAGCATGGAATTTTCTTGGGAACTATCCCATGCTCCTTGTCCCACCAGAAATAGTTATATTCATTCAGGACAATTGTTCTTCAAACACGTACTCCTGGAGGAATAATCCCTAGAAACCCTGACTTTGGGGGGGTCTGTTTTCAAGATTATGTTGAGAAAGAACTGCTTTTTTGACTAATAGTTATGAATCATGAATAGTTATGAATCAGGTATTGGTGTCCCAGCTCTGGGATGGGTTGCTGTGAAGAAACAAGCACTTTCTCTCCCCTGGGCTCACAACATCCTGGAGTTTTGCTTCAGTTTGCTTGTTTGTTTCAATGATGGTCAAACGGGTGATGTCATCTAGGGGCTGTTTCGCTGGTCAGGATGGTCTCCCAGGGGCACTACCATGGCAAGTCCCCAGCCTGGTCACGGGCTTCTAGGGCACCTGGGAGATTTGGCTTAGAATTGCCTCTCGTTCAACAAAACCCCCAAGAAACTGACATGTCAACCATAAGTCCAGCTAATTCATATTTAAAGCAAAATGTACGAACCACTGGTCAAGAACATGTACAACTCTGGTGGCTGCTGACACCTGTCCATAAAAGCTTCCTGCCTCCTTGCCCATTGCAGGGAGGCATATCCCGGTCCACATGACAGTAGTATTCAGTGGTCAAGTCATCGTCTTCTTTTCCCCCAACAATACTGGGGAGGGAGTGGCAATTTTTGGATCTAACTCCCTTTTAGTTCCCATGCTGATCTCTCCAACCTTGTAAGAAGAGTCCTCCTTGAGACTGGTACACCTCATTCATTCACTACAGTTTGGCCCAAGCTCCTATTTGTTGACCTGACATTACCTTCCTGAGAATGTAAGCTCATCACTCTGTGGGGCTGCGGTTCTTAAATTTCTGGAAGCCATGCATTCACTGACTCTGCCTTAGAGCGTATCATTCCTGCGAAGAGCTGACCTCATCTAGCCTGCCAAGGTTTCCCCCACACCACAGGGGGCCTTCCTGAAGGGCTGGGTGGGCTCTGAGGTCACCTTCACGTTCAGACAACTTTTACAACGATCACACAAAAAAGAAGAAATGATTGATGTATCTGAAACCACAGCAGACCGAAGGTTCACTCTGCCTACTTCTGCTGAAGGTCAACTACATTTAAGTGTAACAGCTAAAAAAAAGTCACATAGAAGTCTCAAGACTCGAAAACTGTATCCCATGACACACACATGTCCACATACGAATGAGTGAGCAAACCGGGGAAAATACAATTGTATACTAAAAAACACTGGATGTACATATAATCTCTCCTGCTTATGTTTTTGCTATCAAGTTTGGTCTGTATATTTGTATTAAGAAAACCTTCTGATAGAAAAGTAGATGATGCCTCATTCATGCTCTAAGTAACGTACCGAAAACGCGTATCAGTGCCAGTCTGTGTGGGTAGGTCTTGCTTGTTAACACTCTCACAAAAGGTGGAGATGATTGATATCAAGACCAACTCTGGGTTGTTTCTGTCGCCACTTTCTCACCCCGCCCCCCTCCATTATAAGTTGGCTTTTTTTTTTCCCTATGAAGACTCACAAAAAAAATAGCACTGATTAGTCAGAATTCTCTCCTCACTGGAAAACCGCTATTGGAGAAGCCAGGAAACGACCATTTCAGCTTCCTGTGGTACGTGAATTAGAAACCATCCACATGCAGTGTGAAACCAGGGAAATCTCCCCCTCCCCCTGGGGTTGCTGTGTTTTGTCCTGTATGGATCCGATTCCTGCATTTTCCTACAGAGCATCTATGGTTCCTGCTGGAAGGAAACAGAAAACTTCAGTTCCCTGGAGGAAACCTGCCTCGTGTGCAGCACTGAGACCTTTACTGGAACCAGCTTTTACTGGAACCTGTTTCCTTGGTAGGACAGGCAGGTTTAGCCAATCTGTGAAATCAACACAAAGATAAGACCTGTGAAGTTTTACTTGTTGCAGAAAAGCTGTCTGCTTACTGTCTGGAGAAACAGTGAACTTTTGATTTTGAAGAGACTCTATGAATATAAGGATGAATATGGTCCCTCCTTTTTTATTTGAATTTCGCCTTTCCCTTGGGTGAGGGCTGCTTGTGAGTTAATCAAAGATTGAGAAGTACTGGAAGACTATGTCACTGGGTTTGTGGCTACGTTTGGCTTGTGCAATAAAACCACGTTCTGCTGGTTTCCTTAGGTAACAGCAGAAATGACTAGATGGAATGCCCACAAATAGTTCAAATGCGCAAATGCTTTGAAAATTCAGAAGTAGTAGGAAACATTACATCTGAAGTCCCAGGATATTTCATGTTAAACTGTGTGGCTGGAATTAGTGTGCAAGCTGATGAATTAACCTCTGGTGCATTTGGAAATGTTACCCTGATGTACATTTAAATGGCTCACATGGTAAGTTCATTTTCTATAGTTTCCTATTTGACTTTAACATTTCTTAATGATCATGTGTGTTTGTCATTTTGTTTTGCTTTCAAAATAATATCTACCTCTGAGAGTGCTTCTCTGTTTATTAACTTAACAAATATTATTTCTTGTTCCAGAAGCACCAGGGATTGAAGATGGAGTGGAGAACATCATTGAATGTGTGCCCCCATCCTGCTTGATCTTATGGATCAGAGAAGAAAATAAACAAGTAAGCAAACAAAGAAAATAACAAAGTTATTTTTCCTGGTGTTAGTGCTGTGAAATAAAAGAGTGCTAGAGCGATTTGAATGGTTGGAAGAAAGGTCTTCATGATGTAGAAACATTTAACTTGAAGAATGAAAAAAATTAGCCAGGCAAAGGCAGGATATTCTAGGCAGCAAGAGAAGGATGTGCAAAGGCCCTGAGGTACAAATGTCTTTGTCGAAGCATGAGCTCCTCCTGACTCATGGTTGTAGGATAGTGATAAGGGCTGCTGGAGGAACTAGGCAATAGGCTGGTGTGGGTGGTACCAGCTTGTAAGCCAAGGGAAGCAGTTGGAGTTTTTCTGAGCACTTTGGGATAGGAAGCCATCTGAGGACTTAAACCAAAAGCAGGACTTTGTTTACATTTTTAAAAGAGCTTTCTGGTGGAGAGGAGGTGGGGAAGAAGGAGTGAAAGCCAGGGCTTTCTTTTAAAGGATTAAATGAGATGATAAATACTTAGCATTTGGTGCAATACTTGACACCTAATAATCACCCAGTTTGTGTTAGTGATTGTTATCAATAATTATTAGTAGTATTAATAACAATAACTCTTCAGTTTGACATCATAATCTGATAGTATAAATTCAACGTGCACCTCAGAAAGTAAATGTCTTCTCTGACTTCATTCAGCACAATATACAAAAATAAATTTAGGTGAGGAGTTGAAAAGTGAGTTTATTGGCCTCTCTGGAACTCAAAGGTGAAGCCAGTTTTGGGTCCTACACCTGTTACTGTGTCACTGTCCATGTAGTAAGTTGTATGTGTTGGGTGCAGACTTTTTAATGAGCAAGTTTGTGAAACATTTTTAATTATATTTTATTGATTATGCTGTTACTGTAGTTGTCCTGATTTTTCCCCCTTTGCCCCCTTCCACCCAGCACCCCCCACTCCTCGAAGCAGTCCCCTCACCATCATTCATGTCCATGAGTCATACGTGTAATTTCTTTGGCTACTCCATTTCCTATACTGTACTTTATATCACCTTGGTTATTCTGTGACTACCTATTTGTACTTAATCCCCTCACCTTTTCACCCATTTCCCTCCATACCCCTGCCATCTGGCAGCCATCAAAACACTTTCTGTATCCATGACTCTGTCTCTGTTTTTCTTAGTTTGTTTTTTAGATTCAATTTTTCATAGATACATATTTGTTGTTATTTTATTGTCCATAGTTTTGAACGTCTTCTTTTTCTTAAATAAGGTCTTTTAACATTTCATATAATAATGGTTTAGTGATGATGAACTCCTTTAGTTTTTTCTTGTCTGGGAAGCTCTTTATCTGCCCTTTGATTCTAAATGATAGCTTTGCTGGGTAGAGCAATCTTGGCGGTAGGTCCCTGCTTTTCATGACTTTGAATATTTCTTGCCAATCCCTCCTAGCCCACAAAGTTTCTTTTGAGAAATCAGCTGACAGTCTTATGGGAACTCCCCTGTAGGTAACTAACTTCTTTTCTTTTGCTGTTTTTAAGATTTTCTCTTTATCTTTAACCACTGGCATTTTAATTATGATGTGTCTTGGAGTGGGCCTCTTTGCATCCATCTTGTTTGGGACTCTCTGTGCTTCCTGGTCTTGCCTGTCTATTTCCTTCACCAGATTGGGCAGATTTCTTTCCTTATTTTTTCAAATACACTTCCACTTTCTCTTCTCCTTCTAGGCCCCCTATGATGGGAATGTTGGCCCTCTTGAAGTTGTCCCAGCAGCTGCTTCTACTATCCTCATTTTTAAAATTCTTTTTCCTTCTTCTTGTTCTGATTGGTTGCTTTTTCCTTCCTTATGTTCCAAATCATTGATGTCACTCTCGGCTCCATTCACTCTACTGTTGTTTCTCTGTCAGTTGTTCTTTATTTACATTAGTGTATTGTTTGTTTCTGACTGCATCTTTTTTTATGCTGCTGAGGTCCTCACTAAGTTCCTTGAGCATCCTTATAACCAGTGTTTTGAACTCTGCATGTAATAGTGTGGTAGATTGCTTATCTCCATTTTGTTTAGCTGTTTTTCTGGAGTTTTGATCTGTTCTTTAATTGGGCCATATTTCTTTGTCTCCTCATTTTGACAGCATCTGTGTGTTTGTTCCTATGTATTATCAGATAGAGCTGCTATGATTCTGTGTCTTGGTAGTGTGGCCTAATGTAGCAGGTGTCCTGTAGGGTTCAGTGGCATAGCCTCCTATATCACCCTTTGTGTGGGCTGAGTACACCCTCCTCTTGTAGTTGAGACTTGGTTGCCGTTGGCAGGTCAATGGAGGGATTTACCCAGGCCAGTCAGCTGTAAGGATTGGCTGTGACTACTTACCTCTACCTTCTGTGGAGGATCAGCTGTGCAGGCACAGGGCGGGTTGTGCTCTGACAAGTTCTGTAGCTGTCCACTGGGTGTGCTGGCCCTGGGGTTTTCTGGGTGCTGCAGGCCATGCTCAGCCCCCTCCTGTGTTTTGCCCAGGGCCACCCTGACTGAGCTATAAAGCAATCTGAGATGGCTGCTTTTTGTGCTGGGCGTGGAGATTTCCAGACTAAGCCAAATGGTGAATCTAGGATGGCTGCTGCTGTGCTGGGTTTGGGGCTCACTGAAGTCAGCTGTTGCTTGTTTGAGAGCATTTGGAAAGTTGTGCAATATGAGCCAAGACCAGCCATTCATATGGAAAAGCAGCTTGGGTGGCCCATAAATTGGGTTGGGTGGGGTCACTGTAGATCTCCAAGGTGGGTCACGCAGTGTTAGCCAGGTTGATGGAGTCTCAGAGCCTTGATGGCCCTGTGGAAAGAGGGTTTGGAAAAGGGGCAATGGCCTCTCTTTGCCTTGATGCCAGGCACTTCAGTTCCTCCCCTTATGCCACTGGTGGCTTTCAAGCTGCTCCCCTGGTGCTGGAGCTTGGAGGGAGTGAGTCTGAGAAGCTAAGTCCATGTGTGGGTTTGATAAGAGGAATTGTTCCAGAAGTTTGGGGATCCAGAAGTTTCTTCCATCAGCTAAGTCCCCACTGGTCTTTGCAGCCAGAAGTTGTGAGGACTTATCTTCCCCGCACTGGAAACCTGCGCTGGGAGGCCTGGTGTGAGGCTGGGACTCCTCACTCCCAAAACATCCCTCCCAAATTTTTATCCACCACACCTAGGTGTGGACCAGCCCATTTCATGTTGCACCCCTCCTACCAGTCTGGATAGATGTGATTTCTTTAATTCGGTAGTTGTCAGACATCCATTCAGTTTGATTTCTGATAGTTCTGAGTGATGGTTGTCCTATATTTTAGTTGCAATTTTGATTTGGTTGTGTGGAGATATGAGACATGTCTGCCTAGGCTGCCATCTTGACTGGAAGTCTCAACATTTTTTCACTAATTAAATCAACATTCCATTCTATAAAAAAGATACTCGCACCAACACTTTCCAGTTGACCTTCAATATTATATTAGCTTCAGGTGCACAGCATAGTGGTTAGACATTTAAGAAGACACTTCTTGAAAACACTTTATTTTCCAGACATCATGGCATTTTCTTCTGTGGATTACTTGTCCCGAAATCATGGATGTATGTAGCAGAAATGTGTGTTTGGAAAACTAGACAGTACGTACCAAACCTCAAGCCTTAGGAAAGGGTCCTTCTTGTACCCCATTCTCTTTGCTTGCTCTCTGGGCTGTTTTGAGCATCTAAGGACATCTTAACCATTAGGCAGTGGGGCAGAACTGAAAACAGCTGAGTGACTTTGCGTACCTCTCGAAGCCGTGGTTTACTCATCTACCAAGTGGTCTCAATAATTGTGTCCTACTTTTAAGGCTGTGAAGATAAAGGAAGGGAACTCATTACAATGTTTTCATAGTGTCTGACACACGAAAACAGCACAATTGCTAACTGGTGAGGTTATTACTACTATTTGAAGACCAAAATACCTGCTCCCCTTTATTCGACCCCTTTAATTGCAGATTACAAGGATAGTCTTGGCATTCCAGGTAAAAACATCTTTGGCTATCAGAAAACTTCAGTATGGCGATTTTTGATGGTTTATCTACTACCCTAACCTGACCTGGAGCCCGGGTGAGACCCGGAAGAGAGCCCCAGGGCACTGGCTCCGGCTGTCCAATCTAAAGGCTCAGACTCTATAGCTTGGTGAGAGGTGGCCCTCCAAAGGCTGCTGGAAATTACACTTGTAACCTGGGAGTCTGAAAAGCCAAGGGGTCTGGGGTTTCAATTCCCTCTGTCCTCCTCCTTTCTAACTGGCAGTAATTATCTTTGTAATGCTCTAATGCTAAATAATGATGCTGCTAATGCACGCTGCATTTTCACGCACAGGTGCCAGCTGTTACCTCGCCAGGCAGCTGACCGCCTGGTGCACACTCAGGCGCATTCATTGGGCCCAGCCCCTGCTCACACAAACAAAACAAAGACCGCCCAGCCTTCCCACCGAGCTGCCGTCCCTTCCCCCTCGTCCTGAAGGGAGGCCCTTCTCCCGCCCTCTCCTCTCCCTCCCTGCCCTCCCTTCCCTCCCTCCCACTGGTGGTTTCTTCCTGCGACAGAAATCCAGGAAACTGCCCCCCACACTTCCTCTACCCACAATTTTCTCCAGGGCCTGACTCACACACAATTCAGCTTGATTTGGAGTTCCCTTTTCTCTGTCCCATGAGAAACCCCAACTCTGCCATTCATTTCTGGGAGTACCGGCTGGCCAGATAAGGTTGCTTATATCTGAGTCCCATAATTGACCTTTCATCATCATTAAAAAGGGGGGGCATATTGAAGACAAATTACCAAAGAACAAATGTGAGGCTGTTGGCTTTTCACACACACACACACACACACACACACACACACACACACACACACAAAGACCCTTTACACATTGGTCCACAGAGCAGCCTTCAGCAGACACATCTGCAGGATGAGTCGGTTTTCAGTGACTTTAATCTCCTATAATTCATTGTTTCTGTGGTGCTGGTTACAGTCGCTAAGAGGCCAGAACAGCAGGCCAATTTGGCACACAAACAA